CTGCATAAAGTTGGATGATTAGGCCTCTATGGACCTAGAGGGGTCCAGATCTATAACACAAACTTGCAAGAGGGATTTGAGGCATCCAAACCCCAAAAATGAAATGATTCAAGCCCTAACCCCAAACATGGAATCTACACAATAGAGAAGACAAGGGTTCAATTTGGTACCTTAGAATGAAGCTCTTTGCTTGATCAACCTAGAACCACAACCTCCTCTGGTCCTTCTTGCAGGAGCTCTTCTCCTTTCTTTCAAAATCACACCAAAAAGCTCAAGATGACTCTTCCTCTCACTCTACACTCGAAATTGCTAGGGTTCTCTCTTCTGGGAAGGTATCTGTAAATGAAGGCCATAAGTGCCTTCAAATAGGGCTCATACCCAAAAATTTGGCTTTCTGTCAACAACGTGAATTCGTCGAGTTGACTCACCGACTCGTCAAGTCCATTCATTAATCCGAGTCATTAGTCGCGACCTTACTCGACGAATTTAGGCATCAACTCGTAGAGTCCCTCTTCTTAATTCAAAAGTAAATACTTTAATTATGATACTTAGAAATCCGGATGTTATAATTCTCCCCCACTAGAATCAGATTTCCCCCTCGAAGTCTTACTCTACAAACAACTTTGGATGCTGTCCCGCATCTCCTTCTCCGACTCCCAAGTTAGCTAGGACCCTCTTCGATGTTACCAATAGACCTGAACCAGGGGCACCTCTTTGTTCCTCAGAACCTTGATCTTCCGATCCAATATCACGATTGGCCTCTCAATGTAATTCAGACTCACATCCACCTGAATATCCTCTAGTGACACTACCACCGTCTCATCGGCAATACACTTCCTTAACTGGGATACGTGGAAGGTATCATGGATCTGATCAAACACCTCGGGTAGCTCTAAACGGTATGCTACCTTGCCTACTCTGGCAATCACTCTGAAAGGACCAATGTATCGGGGCCCCATTTTGCCCCTCTTCCCTGAATCGGGTCACTCCTTTCCAAGGAGATACCTTCAGGAGAACAAAGTCTCTAACTTGGAACTTGAGATCGGATCGTCGTCTATCCGCATAACTCTTCTGGCGACTTTGGGCTGTCAGTAACCTCTATCTAACCTGTTGTATCTGCTCAGTCATTTTAAGCACTATCTCAGTGCTACCCATCACTCGCTGCCCTACCACTCCCCAACTGATGGGAGTCCGACACCTCTTCCCATATAAAAGCTCAAAGGGAGGCGTACCAATACTCGAATGGTGGCTATTGTTGTAAGCAAACTCAGCGAAAAGTAGGTATGCATCTTAACTTCCCCCGAAGTCCATAACACATGCTTGAAGCATGTCCTCGAACATCTGTATCGTTCGTTCACTCTGGCCATCCGTATGTGGGTGGTAAGTAGTACTGAAGTGCAATCTCATACCCAACTCCTCATGGAACTTCTTCCAGAACCTGGAAGTGAAACGTACATCTTGATCTGACACAATCGAAATCGGCACTCCATGCTGCGACACCACCTCTATTACATATATCTCTGCCAACCTCTCCGCAGGAGAACTCTCACTGAAAGCAAGGACGTGAGCGCTCTTCGTCAGTCGATCCACAATCACCCAAATTGCACCAGCACCCCTCTTGGTCCTCGACAATTTGGTGATGTAGTCCATAGAAATATGTTCCCACTACCACTGGGGAACCTCTAGTGGCTGCAACATGCCATGCAGATGCTGGATCTCAGCCTTAACCTGGCGACAGGTCAAGCACCTCTCTACTACCCACGCAACATCCCTCTTCATATATGGCCACCAATAATCTCTCTTCAGGTCCAAATACATCTTAGTGGACCTGGATGGATCGAGAATCTTGATCTGTGCGCCTCCTCCATCAGTATGCAACGTGCTGCACCCATGAAAAGTCATTATCCCTCAAGAATCGGTAACAAACTCGGATACCTGCACAATCACTCGCTCTCTTTTGTGGTTCTTCGGTCTCATAGCCTCTGCCTGGGCCTCTCGAATAGTATCCAACATCGAAGTCATTACCGTCATCCTCATACATATATATCGAATATGGGCACTCTCCTCCCTGCGGATCAAAGCATCGACTACCACATTAGGTTTGCCCGGGTGATATAAGATCTCATAGTCGTAATCCTTTACCACATCCAACAATCTCCTCTGGCGCATATTCCGGTTGGGCTGATCCATCAGATACTTTAAACTCTTGTGGTCCGTGTATATGGTACACCGAACCCCATACAAATAATGGCGCCATATCTTGAGGGAAAACACCACCGCCCCCAACTCCAAATTGTGGGTAGGAAACCTAGTCTCATGACGCTTCAGCTACATCGATGCGTATGCTATCACGTGCCCTCTCTGCATAAGTACCACACCCAACCCCGATATAGACGCATCACAATACACCACGAAATCTTCCATTCCCTCAGGAAGGTCTAACACCGGTGCTTCACATAATCTTTGGTGAAGAGTCTCAAATGAGGTCTGCTGCTTGGGACCCCAAGAAAAAGCAATGCCCTTCTGAGTCAATCTGGTGAGCGGAGAGCGGAACGACAATCTTGGAGAAATCTCTGATAATTCTCCAATAGTAGCCGGCCAACCCCAGGAAACTCCTGATCTCGTTGGGGGATCTCGACACCTCCCAACTCATAATAGCCTCAATGTTGGCCGGATCAACCAATATTCCATTCTAATTAACGAGGTTCCCCAAGAACTGGACCTCTCGTAACTAGAAATCACACTTGGAGAATTTGGCATAAAGCCTCTCCGATCTCAACACTCTAAGGATGTCTCTCAGATGCTCCTCATGTTGTTCTCTGGATCTCAAATACACTAGAATGTCGTCGATGAACACAATCACCAAACGATCCAAAATCGATCTGCACAATCGTTTCATGAGATCCATGAACATTGTTGGTGCATTGGTGAGCCCAAAAGGCATCACCATGAACTCATAATGACCATAACGAGTCGTAAAGTCCATCTTCGGGATATCCTCATCACGCATCCTCATTTGATGATATCCAAACCTCAAGTTTATCTTGGAGAGCCAAGATGCACCCTGCAACTGATCGAACAAATCGTCGATGCTCGACAGTGGGTAACGGTTCTTGACCGTCAACTTGCTCAACTCCCGGTAATCAATGCACATCCGGTGTGAACCATCCTTTTTCTTGACAAAAAGGATCAGTGCTCCCCACGACAAGCTACTTGGTCGGATGAATCCCTTCCCCAGCAGCTCCTGAAGCTGCGAGGATAACTCATGTATGTCTAGTGGCGCACAGCGATAGGGCGCCGCTCCTGGAACCAAATCAATATGGAACTCCATCTGCCTCTCTGGGGGCACACCCATCAACTCATCAGGAAAAACATCTAGGAACTCACGCACTATTGGAACCTCATCGACAGAACTCGGCCTCTTTGTGACAACTCGCGTATCCATTACATAGGCTACAAAACCTCTACAACTATGATGTAGACTCTGCCTTGCTCGGGCAGCTGTGCAGAATGTTGACCCAGATCGGGTATCCTCACCATACACCGTAATTACTCTCCCACTAGGGTCTTGTATGGTTACCAACTGACGCTCGCAGTCGATAACAACTCCAAATCGGCTCAACCTATCCACGCCCACGATGACACAAACATGCCCCATCGCAATTGGTACCAAATCTATCAGGAACTCTATGCTGAAAATCTAAAAGTACACATCCTTGAATCATATCAGTAGCAAAAACCACTCGCTCGTTAGCTATAGAAACTCATAGAGGGCGACTCAACGCCTCCCGATGGATACTGATGTGATGGCTAAATGCTAATTACACGAAATATCGACTCGAACCTAAGTCAAATAACACCAAAGCAGGTACATAATGCACAAGAAAAGTGCCTATGCATATCACCATATAAGCATAATATCTTAAATTCAGTAATAGTAAACAAAAGAATACATACCAGCCACGACATCGGGCACTGTGCGGACCTCCTCCGTTGTCAAATGAAAGGCTCTCCCACGAGCCTTCGGTGCCTCGGTCTTCGCTGGCTGGACCTCGGTAGCTCTAGCAGTAGGTGCAGATCCCTGGGCTAATCCGTAGAGTAGCTGTGGGCACTCGAACTTCCGATGGCTAATCTGGTTGCAGTGAAAACCAACTGCAAACCCCTTGGGGCAATCCCTCACGAAATGCCCTTCCTTGCCACACTTGTAGCACACCCTTGCTCTGCATACTCCCCCATGGCTCTTGTCGCACTTCCCATAAGTGCGACCCTTTTGTCCCCCAGATCTCGAATCAGCGGGCTTTACCCACATGGCTGCCGGCTGTGACTGCACCTGTCGCCTTTCCCTCCTTTGATACTCGGCCTCCTCCCTGGCCTGAGTCTCTAGCTCAATCTCCCTCTTCTAAGCATTTTCCTGGAGCTCAGAAAATGTCTGGTATATCGATTTCGCCACGAACTTATGAATGTCTCTCCTTAGTATGCTCAGATATCGGATCATACGTGCCGGCTCGGTAGACACGTGCTCAAGGAAAAACAATGCCCTCTCATGAAACATCTGTGTAATCATAGTCACGGACTCCGTCCCATGCTTGAGGGATAAGAACTCATGAGCCAATCGGTCCCTATCCATCGGGGGAACATACTCATCTTGGAACATGGTGGTGAACCTATCCCAGGTCACCACTGTAATCTCTGTAGAAGTGAAATCAGCCGTCATAAATTTCCACCAGTCCTTCGCTTCCAAGAAAAGCTGGTTCAAAGCGAACCGTATCCACATATGCTTCGGACAAGAGCATGTGTAGAAGCATCCCTCAATGTCAGAGATCCACCTCATCACAACTATCGGATCCTGAGTCCTGTCAAAGTCAGGTGGCTTCGTGTTGCTGAACTCTCTGTACAACAACGAGTTAGATTGAAGTTAGTATCTTTAATTGCATTATTTTCTTTCATCTTACAACAAAATCATCATCTTCGCCAAAATTTGTGCTTTCCATCATTTCATATCACCATACGTTGTTGGGATCACGCTTGTTAAGACTTGATGGATCATTTGATCTTATCCTCATTATGTTGTTCAACTGCCTTAATCTTTCCAACTCAAGCTCTTGAAGCTTCTTGAGTATCTTTCGATAAACCAACCCCCTTTCTCCCCTTTGTGACACATTTGCAGAAAAACATGGAGTATTGGTTGCTAAAACAATAACAAGGTCTAAGATTAGATCAAGTTTTGATTTCAAACAAGATTCAACCGAGGAAACCATTGAAGAAATTTGATACTCATAGATCGAAGTTATTAATAACTCAAACTTCAACAAAGATTCTTGAAAACCAGTAAGAGAAGTTTTGATACTAGCAAACATCTTCACATTAGCTTCTTTCTTAAGCTTCAACTTGCCAGGATAGACCTTGTTGCAAGCATGAAGATCTTCAATCAAGGCTCTAGTTGCACCAAGAAGAACATCCACATTATCCTTTACCTCCACACAAAACTTATTAGGCTTCCATACTTATTTATTAAACAAATCAACAAAGCCTTTTATATTCGCTTCAATGGTGTCTTGCAAAGAATGCACAAGCTTCTCAAAAGTCTCATGCCGCTCACGAGCAAGATTTTGTAATCCCTTGATAGCATGTATATAAGAACTTGATTGAGCAATAAAACATTCTTCTAAACTTGTAACATTATCTATCAAAGTCCTAGTTCTTGACTCTTGAGACTTTAATAAAAACTCAACCTCTTACCTATTCCTAGAGGGTTTCCCAGCATTGTCATTGAGAAATTGAAGAATGGTGTTGAGTTTGGAATTTAGAATCTTGTATTGCTTTCCTGACATAATCCCATTTTCATGTACATCTTGTTCTTTAGGATTAAACTCTAACTCAGTAAATCCAAAGATTTCATCATTTTCTTCATCTTTCTTATTCAGCGTCTCATGATCAGTGGATTAAGAAGAGAATAAGGAAGTTATAGGCTCATTGAGGACACCTTGAAATGTAGGAGAAACAACAAGAACTATTGTTGGTTTTATAATTAAAGTTGGTGGTGGTGACAAAAGTGGTGGTGGTGTAACAATTGAAGTGTCGATTGCAGATGTCGAATTCCATTCACCTATAGTAACATTTGAGCCCTTATTAGATAAGTTCTTGATAATATTTGAATTCTTACCCTCATCCAAATTGTACTTTTAAATAGGAACTTCAGGTGGTGTGATAATAATTTTCTCAGGGATCAAAGTATAAATTGGTTCACCAGAAGCGACGTTTGTATCCACATCAGATGCACTTATAGTGACATCAGGAATACTTGTCTCCTCGGTATTTTATTCGACAGTGGCATCATTTCTAGGTGAAACATGAAATTTCTGATCATCATTACCAAAATTTGCATCTTTAGTTTCATCATTATCACGTCTCAAAAGTTCTTGAGGTTTGGTAGCTTTGGTAGAAAGTTATTCGTCTGTTAGAGACCTAAGATTCTTATGCGATTTCAACACACCAACAGCTTTATGATTGTTGTGCATCTTCCTCATATGCATCTTTGATCACAACTCCTGAAGGCTTCGACTTAGCATTCAATTTCTTTGACTTTCTAACCACAATCTCAAGAATAGAAGCCTCGGTAACAATTTCTTTAACGACCTTCGCATGAAAAAAATATGACTTCCATATCAAAACCATCTTTAGTTGTCTTTTCAGTAACAACGTTCGTAAGATTTTTATAACTACCCTTCCTAGACTTCTCAAAGACAGTCTTTGTTGTAACATCTTTATCAATCGCAACCTTTGGTTTCAATTTCAACACCAGAAGAAGTAGCAATCATTGAAGCTTTGTATTGTATCAATAACAAATTCTATTGACACACCAAATTGAACATGACATCGGGAATATATCCAACAACATGAAAAATAAATGGATCATAAAGTGCAAACTTGGGAATATGAAGATGTGAGAATTGAGCAACCTCGGCTTCTTTTGGTACTTGAATATCTGCTTGATTATAGACTTCATGTAAAACAAGACTCCAAATTTGAGCACTAGTTATCTTAGTCATTTTCTTTGAGTATTAAGAAATGAAGCAAAGTGTGGCCACAATAATTAATCATATTTAACCTTCATCAGATAGTAAAGACCAGCTATATGTGAATAGAATTGAATTATTGCCTTGTCGAGACCAAAACCCCTTCCAGTCAAATAACAAAGTGTAATTCCAAAGAAAAAAAATTCCATACTCTTGGATGAATGGGATTCTTGAAACTACATACAAGAGAAAATGGAGGTTGATAACCCATATCATTGAACATATGAAGTACATGTTCGTTCGTTGTAAACTCAAATAGTCCATCTGACGTTAGTTGAAGAATTTGGGAAAATTGCTTCTTGCTCTTTTAAGATTCCATCTGCAGTATGATGATGTTCTTTTTATTTTTGTACGTGGTCGTAGAACTAGAAAGTAAAAACCAATTCAATGGAATAGAAAAAGAAGCAGTCAAAGCATATGCAAGACATGAATCATTCATACACTGAACTAGCATTTTCAACTCTTAGGGTATTCTGCGATTAACGGAGTAAACATCGATAATTTAGGTTGAGCCTCATTCACTTATGAAAATAATAAATGAAATAATAAGCCAGACTTTTCAAAATCTTGGTATGGATTGTTAATACCCAAAACCTCGACGATTTCAGTGTCATTATGATCCAAAAGAAAAGATAGAATCAAAATAAGAAAATTTTAAATATTGTGATATCAAACAAACTTTGATAAAAAAGCCAGTAAGATCTTGGGAAAAGATACTCTTTCTTCGATATCAAGAGAAAATCGAAATGCTTGTGTGGCTTCACGTGAATTACAATCGAATACTAGAGAAGTATCGAAGGGCCTTTTTCAAAAAGCTTCATAGGTGGCTTTAATTGCAAACAAGTACACAACCTAACATAAGGGTGAAAACTTGTAAGAAGATCCTCATATGATCAGTGTAATCAACTACAAGTAAGATTTAGAAAACTTTAAGTGACTAAAGATCGAAGTAAATGTTATTTCATAAAGAAAATTAAAGTACTACATCGATTGGGAAGAAATGTCTTGGTATTAGTACGTTTCACTAAGATCACTCATAAGAAATGAAAGTGAGATTCTAAACATTTAAAAAAGGTACATTGAAACATAAGGTTTCATAAAAATATTCAACAATAAAGTTGTTCACCGTTAATTCCTTAGGTATAAGGTTTGTAGGGTCTCACCGTCATCTTGAAAAAATGATAGAAGATGATAAACATAGAGTTTTGGCATTCATACATCCTAGTTACTTTTAACTAGAGATGTCTTGGGATATGCGTATTTGTGTGTACAAGTGTAAGAATTTTAGGATGAAAAAGATTGTTTAAGAAAATGCATTGTACCTCTGCGAGAAATTCTGACCATCCAGACATCTCTTAACTCAAAATGATAAGAGAAAGGTAGCTCGAGACCTATTGTTAATTCAACTTATTGGGAAGAAACTGTTAGAAGAAAATTTTCATTAAGGCTTCGTAAATAATGAGTTAATGAGGATTTGGAAAACATGTTGCAGCCAGATTCGAGGGACACTTAACTATTCATAAGTAACGAATATTACTTGATCCTTATTGAACTTCCCAATCATGATAACGAAAACAAAAATAATGAAAATATTTTTATATTTTTTAAATAAATGACAAAAAAAACTAAAAAAAATTCTTTTTGAGTTTTAGATTTTGTGAAATAAACAACAAGAATAATGAAAATCTTTTTGGGTTTTTAATTTGTAGAAACCAAAGACAAAAATAAAGAAAATCTTTTTTTTATTTTTGACTTTTAACAATAAAAGACAAAAATATAGAAAATATTTTGGTGTTTTTGACTTTTTCTAAAACAACAAAGAAAAATATAACCTTCGTTAGTCCTTCGGTATTGATAGCGAATAGGGTTGCAATTCGGCCTTCCCTATTCAGTGAAAAAACATAATTAAAACTTCACTAATCCTTCATTATTGATAATGAATACTTCTCGGGGAAACATTCACTACCCATTCCCTATTTCATCACTCAAGCCTTCTCTTCCCATTCTTTATTACCCCCATCATACTTCTCTACACCTTTGCTTGTTGGAAAGAGTTGTTCAACAAGTCAGAGCTAATGTCGAAAATGAAACGTATCGAAGCTTTGAATATGAACAATAACCTATGAATGAATTTATATCAATATCGAATTTTAGTCTAAACCTTCGTAATTCATAGACAATAAAAATTAGTTAGAGGATGGAACATAAGAAGTTTCCATCATTCCCAAACCATTTAATATTCTCATAAAATAGTTTTCATCAAGTGATTTGTAAAAATATATGTAAATTTATTTGTGGTTTGAACAAAATGAACTTCGATATTGCCATCCTCAACATGATCTTTGACGAAATGGTATCGATGTGCAACATGTTTTGTTTCAGAATGTTGAAATGGATTATGACAAATACGAATTACGCGTTGAGAATCACAAACAAATGAACTTTCTTCATGTTAATCGCATAGTCATATAATTGAATTTAGATCCAGATTACTTGGGAAATACAGGTCATAACAAAAATATATTCAGCCTTAGCTGTGGATATTGAAACACATGTGTGCTTTTTTGACTGCCAACTCACAAGTTTCCTGTCTAGAAATTGACATCCTCTAGTAGTACTCTTTCGATCCAATTAACAACCACCCAATTCTGCATTCGAAAAAGCTTGAATGAATAATCTTGTGTTTTGCTGGATACCACAACCCCAAAGATTGAGTATGATGTAAATATCAAAAGATATTTTTGATAGTTATGAGATGTGGATCTCTAGGATTTACTTAGTACCTGGCACAATTACAAACCAAAAAAATAATATTAGTTATACTTTCAGTTAAATACTATTATGAACCAATCATGCTTCGATATGTTTTCAAATCAACAACAGGATTATCCAAAGAAGGACTTAAGTGAGTGTCGACTACCATGGGAACCTTTGTGTCTGAGTAATTCATCATTCCAAAGCGTTCAAGAAAATTCTCTTTATAAGTTTCTTGATTAATGAAAATGACTTCTTTACTTTGAAAAATATTTAAACCCATAAAATTATTAACTTTTCCCATCATACTTATCTTAAACTAACTTCTCATAAAATCTTCAAATTTCGTCGAAAAACAAGGATCGGTAGAACCAAAGATTATATCATCGACATTAATTAAAACAAGCATGAGATGACCCTAAATTCCTTTCGAAATAATGTGGGATTAACAGATCCTTGCTTAAATTTAGCGATATTCAAAAAAAAAGTTGCATACCAAGCTCTTGGAGCTTGTTTTAACCCGTAAACAACTTTGTCAATGATAAAACAGTGATTAGGAAACTTATTATTGACGAATCCAAGTGTTTGCTCAACATAGATTGTTTCTTCGAGTACAAAATTGAGGAATGCACACTTCACATCCATTTGGTATACGTCAAAATTCTGGTGAGTTGCATAAGCAAGAAAAATTTATACTAGTTCAAGTCTTGTGAAAGGAGCAAAGGTTTCATCATAATCAATGCCTTCTTGTTGACTATAACATTTTAAGACTAATCTTGCTTTGTTGCAAACAACATTTCCATCTTTATACATTACGTTCTTGAAAACCCATTTTAAACCAACTATTGAAACACTTTCTGATTTTAGGAATTAACCACCAAATGTTGTTTCATTCAATTTCAACAAACTCAAATTGCATTGGAATAACCGGATCTGGATTTTCTAATGCAGTCTTGACTATTTTCGAAATAAAACCATTGAACATGCAAAATTCTTGATGACATTAAGAACTTTGTTCCAAGCTCTAATTTGTGCACGAGTTAACACATGAGAATTAGGATTACCAAGAATTTGTTCATTGGGATGATCACATTTCCATTTTGTTGAGAGAAAAGCATTTGAGAAACACTTAAATAAACATTAGTACAAGATAATAGTTGCAAAATAAGTTAATCTCAAAGGATCATGTAAGCTCAACAATAATAAGTTAAATTGTTAGATAGTTAGTTGTGGAAATATAAAGTGCGGAAATGTAAAAGAAATATAAATAACAAGAAGTTATATAAAGTTTACGCTAAACTGATTCGTAACAAGGTTTGCAGTCAAACACAAGTTAGTAAATGTGATCAGTTTAAGGTGAAGAGGAACTCAAAAGTTTTAGATGAGATATAGAGATATGAGAGAATGATATTTGTATTTCGGTGAATAGTTCAAAAGATCTTGAAGAAGTGGTATGTTACAAAGATATAGGGAGTCTCTATTTATAAAGTCCCGGAAAGATACATGAGAATTAAATTAGTAATATTCTACTGAATTCAGTGACCATGCAAGGTTCAATAGATAACAATATGCTAACACGCTAAGTTAGTAGTGCTGATCATTTTTCTCTTCGGTAGTGGATAGAGTTTTGGTTCACTTCAGTTCACAAGAAAACATCTTTAATTTTGGTAGACAAAACATGGTTGCAGTAACACTTCTCACTACGGTATTAACAACATATCTGGTTGTGGTTCCTTTACCTAAAGATGGTCACTTTTTGTATCAACAATTTCCCCCAAATTATCCTTATAGCTATCTTTTCTTCATTTGTTAAGCTTAAGGAACCGAATGAGATTCTACCAAAATTTCCTAACTTCGAATAGCCACTCAATTCTTCTTCAGATCTCAAATCTGACTTCAACCGTAGTGTGCTTTGAGCGTTGTACTGAAGCCAAAGTGGTTTCGAGTTGCTTTTTGGTTAGTCGGTGAATTGCGGATACTGGAATGATATATTTTGGACCGTCTTGAGCCCTTTTGTAGACGACTTCTAACATTGGAAAGTTACTTGCACCAAGTGAAATTCCTTGAAAACCATTGGTGAAAGCTGGTAACAAATCCAACTCAGGAAAATTGAATTTCTTGGAGAGGATTGGGTGGATTTTTGCATCAATTCTTCCAAACTCACATACTAAGGCCTTGAGAAAATTCACACGCCCTTTCACAACCAATTTTCATCTTCT